AGTCTTAGACTCCAAAAATTAAACAAAAAAATGGGACCCACCTGCAAGCATTACCTTTCGGATAAAAAAAGAATTATCCAAATCGGTCCAATAGCGGCGGAGTTATGCCGTAACACACATAAAAAAAAAATATATCGTCGAATTGAATACCTCCTTCTTTTGGGAAGTCGGTCAATAAAACCTGGCCTAAAAAGTAGTCGGTGCCACCCAAATGTCGGTTTTAATTATTTAATTTAAACTCAGATTTTCAGACTAATGATTCATAATCTCCAGCTCACTATACGTCCCCACCGAGAGGCTCGGAGCCTATCCTAATAAGAGGTGACTAGGCCATAGTCAACCACGCTGGCCAAGTGCGGGTTGATTGACTTCACAAATATCTTTGAATTTCTTCGCCGATATGTGCAGGCATCACGATGTTTTCCTTCACCGTAAGAAGATTATGAATTAGTAATTAATAATTAAGTATACACTCAAGATTATAGTGTTTATGAGTCACAATTCGGTAAGGTCGCACATGATTGAGGTCTTCAACATTCATGATATTTACGAAGAGCTCATCGGTAATGTACTTTTTTAAATAAGTGTTAGTTACTAATTCTTTTTCTTTGTCAATAGATTCTGCCATACATGGAGCCGCAGGAACTACTTGCTTGCCTGCTGGCGGCGATGGCACACGACTTAGACCACCCCGGATTGAATCAAACATTCCTCGTGACCAGCCACGACTATTTGGCCCATTTATACCACGTAAGTGTTTACTTATGGAATATTTTTTTTATAATAGAAGGGGGCAAACGAGAGGCGGGAACACAGAGGTGGTCAACGACGCCCATGGATATCCGCAATACCAAAGGAACTACGGATCCGCTGCCAGCCTTTAACATAGAATTTCATTAGTATTTATTTTATTGCATCTTTTGAGGCATCCTAAGTTAGAGTTGATGGGAATAGGTGTGTATCGTCCTCGGAGTTGCAGACAGACATGATTTTAAGACTGTTTTGAATGTTAATGCATAAATCACCCAGTAGCTTATACGAATCAAACGCGACTACACAGTTATGCGATATTTTAGTCAAAGGGTACGCGCGCTCTTAATACACTAAGTACTCCACTTAATTGATCTGTTGTTAGTAGCGAATCTGTTAAGTGCAAAATCCTAAATAGCGTATGGATTCTCTCATGTGAGTGAAATTAATTAATAGCTTATAGGATTAACTAATTGCTAGGTATATTTATATTAATTCCAATATAGACTTTAATGGACCGAACTAAAATAAGAGATTAACTAATCTCTAAGTAGTAGTAATAATCCCTTATGACCTCAATTAGGTTAATTGCTAGAATTACTATAGATTTAACTGCTATTGTAATTCCTCTGTAATGCAAATGTTATCTCTGACAGACCACTAGAACAACTTTTATCCTCGGTTTATAGATGATGTAAAGATTTCTGAAAGTAATTTATTACCTAGTCCCTATAACTATAGCCTAACCGACAATTTTACCTTATAAATGTAACATGTCAATAAATAATAAATTGCAGTTAAAAATATATTAGAAATGAAGAAATATTCCTTCAATTTCTAAATAATAACAGAAAGCTTGTTAACACCAAATGAGACTAGATATTTTTCAAGTTGACTGGCTGTTTTAATTGGCAGTCTAGCTCACTGCGTTTCTTGTTATAAGCAACGAAGTAACGTATATCACAATAAATGTGATACCTTTTAGATATGTTTTCTCACTTGCTACTCGTACAACGGATTGTTAAAGAAAAATATATCCATTTTACGGAATTAATGTGTTCATACGGATTTCTAGTATTGTGATTCCTTAATAAAATCATTCTATTTGGGCACTTAGAATTATAATCACTCCTAACTTATTAAAACTTTCATGAGACATTACACTATATAAATTATAACACGGCTAAACTCACGACAGTTTCGAACCTGTTGGTGGTCCTTCTTCAGGGTGAGAACCTTCTTCGGTGCGTACACCGAATGTGATCACGTGAGTTTAGCCGTGTTATAATTTATATATTATATTCACTCCTGTTGTCGTCCCTTATAGTTGCTTTAAATAAAAACAGAGAGAAGTATCTTCCGATACAAATTTCACTAATAAACTAACATTAGAAAAGAGTTTTAATGCAAAAGGGCATTGTTCTAATTGTCAAACTAATTTGAGCAATAGCTTCTAGACTGTTTTAGTATTTTTAAATAATTTTTGGTTATTTCTCTAATCAAAAAAATAAAGTGAAAACGTTCAAACAACAATGAAGTGTTGTGTTTTCTCCAAACTTCCCAATCAAGTTACAAAGGCTACCCCCAACGCTTTTCATACGCACTCGAGCGAAAACCTTTACCGTACTTTAACATACAAATAATATCCGAACCTTTGTGTTTCGCATTTTCGTATATTTATGTGGACATTTTATATTGGCTGTAATGACCACCAAAGATATCGTAATTCAAATTAATTTTTGTTGAACATTAGGTGACGTAAACTATAAAGTTATAGTTATAACTTATATAAAATGATACGTCAAATTAGTAAATTAAATATATTTATTGTTTATTGCCTGCATATTCCTTTTTTTTTATTCCTTCATTCACTCTTCCCTGTTTGTGTGGCAAATGGTCTTTCAAATGAAGCATTTCGCTAAATTACTATTCGCTTAAAACTTTTTCGAATAATGAAATAAATCAATTATCGCCAGCAGTTTGATTACGTAAGACATTGATGTTGAATGTTACTACTACTATTGTAGGACCAATTTAATAGATAACATTTGAAACCACATTAGAATTCAACAACGTAACCTTGTAAGGGACCATCGAAATACTTATATCGATTTAAATAATCGTATTTATATATCAATTCGTATCGTATTTATACAATGTTATTATTTACTTTGAAGTTTATTACGTTATATTTATTACAATAATGGAGACTTCTTCACAATGCTGCCTTACCCTTTTTCTTTTTTAACATAAAATATTCGTATGAAAATAATCGATTTTTCGTTATTAAATTCAAACATTTTCATTTTCAATTTATTCGATGTTTAAGTTTAAGCAAATGCTATTAAACTAAAACTGATAGACGTTAAATGTGCAAACAAACTTTCGAAGTAAAAACTACACAGTTAAAGTACTTTCATAAACTTCATCCATTTCCATTTTCATATAAAGCAATAGCTATCCAACGCTTGTTAACTGCATTGATAAAGGAATACCGGCACTAAGTAATTACAAAGTTACATTGAAGCATTTGCAAAGTTTGAGGAGTGTTGGGAGTACACTTCTCGAAGACTCAGAGTTGTACGAGACAGGTCTTACTCACTTTAATGAAATTCTACCTTGCCAACAGTACTGCTTTCTATTAAATTATATGTTTTGGGTCTCAGATTTTTCGGTATAATGTCCGGAATTATTAAAAGGATGTAGTCATGCTTTTTGCTCATTATATTTATTATTCCACTTTAAAATGTTTTCTTTTGATTGCGGAATATTTGTATTGCAATTAAATTATTTACAATTTCTATGACTTCCTAATCGCTGTTTTTGTTACCGTACGAAGTCGAATCGCTAGTAATATCACCATCTTGTATAAATCCAATTCTCAATATAGCGACTATATTTAAATTAAGTTGCCATAAGACATGTAACTTTTTTAATAGGTATATATTGGGTGTTCACTATTGGTATCGATAAGTCACGTTGCATATATTTGTGTTTAGAACACGTCGGTGCTTGAGAACCACCATTGGCGTTGTGCGACGAGCTGCCTCATCGAGAGTGGTATGATGGAGAGCCTGAGCGGCATCTGGTCCAGTCTGCAGGACCAGATCTCTGGTCTCATCCTTGCCACCGATATAACTCGTCAGCAGGTGTACCTCAGCCAGTTCAAGGTAAGTTCAAATGTTGTTCTTTATGTACTTATTGTAGAGCCATCTAGCGGAGGTTGACAATCATTATAACCGAATGGTTGTATTTAATTGGTGGAAGTTTTCTAGCTACAAAGTTTTTGTACTGCCAGTATTCTAATTAAAATTCGTAGGTAGTCACGACTAACAAATTTGTAATTTAAGTAAAGACAGAATATATGCAGCGTATTATTTTACGTATTAACAATAAAGTCTCCATTTAAATAACCAGACTTTCAACTTCACTTTTTGTCCACGAAACAGTAATATAACTAAGAAACAACTAAGCTACCTGCAGCTTCATTAAGAAGTTGCTTTCATATAAAGAAATATTTTAAGTTGTCAAAAGATTTACATAAAATGCAGACGAAATTATAAAAATTTAAAGAGTAGTGTTAATAGACAAGTATACTAATGTATCTCGCAAATAGGTTTAGAGACCATTAAGATTTTAAAAGTCTTTACTGTTGACCCTTAATATTATGGCTTAACATTAAATTTGTACATTATTAGAATTTTAAAAAATAGTATATTTTTTTAACAAATACTATAAAGGGTAAAATTGTTATGTCATGCTAAAAATAGATGTAATGATTCTCGTTATTACAGATATTAAGTCAAAAATGTTTAATTTTTTATCTATCGAATTAAACAGTAACATCTTAATTACTGTTAAAGAAAAACATGTCAAGATTATTTTATATAAATCTTAACCATGACGTCACGGCCTCGCGTCCTAATCGACGAGTCCAAAAATAATATGTTATTTTGGTCCCTGTCCCGTAATAACGGCTCGTAGTGACAACTGTGAGTTATATTTAACTCTAGCGTTCCACTATTTTACGAATGCGTATCGCCTTTAGCTTAACCTTCAAAAGTACTGCGAAACCAGAACGGTACCAAAGCGAAACCAACTTCGCGTTAAAGTTAATTTCACGGTAACTGAGTTCGACATTAAAATGAACGATTTTATAAACCGATACATGATATTAGGTTTGTTTTTCAGATGCCTAGTAATTGCAACTTTTATCGGATCGTACGACAAACAAAAGAAGTACACAGATTATTCCTTAATTGACAGCGTATGTAAAATGCTACAAATAAGAAAGCCATTGATGTATTGACTGCATTTTATTTAATAATATTTCAATCTCGTAAAACGTTTAGTGAAAGCAATTTAAATTATCGAGGCACCTTTCGTGCTGCATCGATGGATTTAGCCATAGAGTAATTACAAATACGTTGGCACAAAATAGATTTTGCACTCACACTATTTCAATAAGCCGCCCAACGAATATTAAATTTCAAAATAACTAATGCATGATAGTATCTTAGAATTATCAATAAACTAGCTTGTGCTCGCGACTTCGACGACGTGAAATTAGAAAGCCTTTCTAAGAAGACTATGTATTCCATCGCACTATGTTCTACATCTGTGCCGAATTTCATTGGGGATAGTGATATCCACTAACATTACACAACCCTCTGACCGATATTATCACTATATTAGGCCTATTGGCAGCAATAGTCCTATCCCAGTAGAACATGATACGGCTATTTTCTTGGTAATAATCTATTAAGTATTTTTGGTAATATGGTACCTCAGAATTCACAAGAGAATATTTAAGGGCAAGTTGCTGATGAATAATCTTGACCACTTGGTTATGTCTATGCAAACACGCGCCTTTGATACCCATCTTTACGTTATCTTCTTAATATTTATGAAATAGAAGCTGTCGCCAGCAAATTTCGTTGGCGTGGAATTTAAAAAAAAATAGTCGTCTTCTTTGAGTTAAAGTCCCGTCCAAATCGATCCGTCCTCCCGTTCCAGAGATAGCAGTCCGGTCGCCATTTTGACAGTGCGGTATTAAAAAGTAGGCTATAATATGCCCGTCTATGTCAGCTACCCTTCAATGAAAGTTCGGTCGAAATCGGCCCAGACCTTTCGGAGATTTTTTAAATGTTTTTAAATTTTTATTATCAGCAACGCAAATACACCATCTTCCCTAAATATGAAATTTTTCCTTTGATATTTACAGACACTCCAATTTTATTATTTGTATAGATAGAAGATAGTACTCGTATACTATTGACAGGAACAATTTTCAACGAAAAAGAATTCGCGGACAGAAAAAATACCCCTAGCAGTTTTTGGTGTTTAACTGTGGAAATGTAAATATAAATATTTCAGTAGATTTCACCTTTCAATGGTATCAAGAATATAATACAGTCGAGGACGTTAATTTCCTACCCATTTCTGGGAAATGAAATTTCACGCTCACAATGAAGTTATGGCAGGATCATTTTAATAGGTCACATTTGACACTCCTCCAAATTTAACACCGTAACATGGTAAATACGAAGATTAAAATTTATTTTTTTGAAAATAGAATTGCACAAAAGCTTAACTTTTTTTCATTTAAATTACCTATTTATTATAATGATATTCGTTCAGGAACCTCGTTACAATGTTGCGTCTGTGAACGTTTTTAAAAACTAAGGATGTTACAAAAATCGAATGAAAAACATTGATTTTTGTACGTTTTTTAGGTTATATTGATTAGTTTACCTTAATTTATGTTAAAGCAGTTTACCTCACCGTAAAGTTAAAATAAATAGATGTCGATAATGATGACAAAGATAATTAATCCTGGCCTACCTAGTTTGAAAACTTGCCATAGCAACTTTAAACTTTTGCGGTGACAATTTACGAAATTCAATCCATGAATGTTAATATTTTTTCGGTCAATTTTCTATTCCTTGAAATAGCATTTCCTATTGGAACAAGATTTCAGTGAGTGCTTTTCTTACAAACGTATTGTCGAATTCATCCCCTTAGTACTTGTTTTTGTTACTTATTCTACAGCAGAATTTCTTCGTAAAGATTGAAACTGCTGTGAAAGAAAGTCGGGAAATTAAAATTAAATCTTAACGATGGATCTATGTTGTTAACGATGACTTGCAAATTTTTATCCGAAAAAGTAAATGTCGAAGGTTTTTTAAAAGGAAATTATTAGTAACCAGCTATTACAAACAAATAAATGATTCTTAAAATGTTATAATTTGCTTTTATTGATTTTTAGCCTAAGTAACGTTTTTTTACAGTATTTCATGGAACTAAGTTAAAAAAATCCATACTACTCGTAGTTTAATAAAAGGGTTTTAGCGAAGAATTTAGTAGTTATCCCACAGTTAACTTTGTCACTGCAGTATAAGTGACAATGTTAAATGCATTACGGATAAAATACGTTCCGCTAAAAGTATTGATAAAAGCATTTTTCAACGTACAATTCATCATGTAATTCTTCATACTAATATTATAAATGCGAATGTTTAGATGAATGGATGGATGTTTGTTAACATTTGTAGCCAAAACTGCTTTACGAATCTCGATGAAATTTGTCATAGATGTAGAGGATAGTGTGGAAGAATACATAGGCTATTTACTTTTTTTTCAATTCCACGCGGACCGCGGAGTCGCGGGTAATAGCTAGTGTGTAATAGAATATGGGCTTCAAAGTTAACTGATTTTAAAATTTAAAATAGAGTGTGCAATAAAACATATGTTTTGATCCTTTTACAGGAAATGACGACACATTAATTTTAAAAACAACAAACTATCAATTGGATTTTGTAATTAATCAAACTTACGGTTATAACTTTAGCATCTCTTCAATGCACTTATGTTTAAGTTGTCGTTGATTTTCTTAACAAACTTTCACGTTTTGTTGTTTAAACCTTGCCCAAGTTGAGCTCAAAATAAATGGAAATTTCAAGTTATATTCTAAAATAAGGTCAAAAGTATTCATTCAAGAAAGTTATTAAATATATAAACTTAATGAATTGCAATAAAGTTGCTTCCACGCTTAGCTTTGACTAAGGGCGAAATACAGAGGCGCAGTACACGGACGGCTTTAAGCAGTCAACTGAGATAGGTACAAACAGGCGGCGTGCTTCGCTTACTTAGCATCAGCCAACTGCGGTGATTGTATGGGGTCATTCGACTGCTGCAGACCGCTTTAAGCTACCTTTAAATTTCCTCTGAGAACTTTTTACGTCTTTTTATTAACAACTTGTATGAAAATTATAATTGGGAAAAAGATTTTAATAAAGAGCATCAAAATGTGTTTCTTAAAAATTAAAAATATTTTCATGTTGTATAAGTACCTCGGGTCAAAATTAAATTATTTTGCTCCGCCTATACTGACATTTATACCGATAAAAAAATGATTTAAAACTATTAATTTATTGCTACTAACTATGTAGATCTCCTTGTACTAAAAGGTAACTTGCTTGTGATTTCATAATATGCTTATTAAGGACTTTTGTATCTCACGTCAGTTACACATGACTTTGTTCGTGCTTGAAGCTTTACAAAGTTCAGTGTGCAATCAATTTTGACGCAAGCGGGTTTACAGCCGGGATTTAGATGTTGCCGAACGTTTACAGCCCCGTCACTTACAAAGACTTGTACAAACTTAGAGACTGCAGTTGTTCAGAACTTCTTTGACATTAACGTACGACGTCAGATCGCTGGATTACTTGAAGATTATTTTTTATAATTCAAAATTTAAGCGAAATTTGAACAAAAGTGATAATCGTAGAGTTTATGCACTTTTTCCCACATTAACTCTATATTCAAGTTGGTACAATTACTAGAAACACAATGTTAAATTTTCTTAATAAAATAATAACATTAGTGATGAAAATCTTTAACACCTTTTCAACAAAATAAGGGCGAAAGGAAAAGAGAATAATGAATTAAAAGAATGTTAGTATACCATTATCCAACATCACTTACATACCTAATGGAAACAAATAAAATCATATAAAAACAAAAGAACATCCAGTTTCACGTTAAAGAAAAGTAATAAAACACAAGCACGAAATTAAATTGCAAGTTGCCTCATAGATTTATTTAAGTTTCCCAGTAAACTGAAATTCTTTTCCTTTGATTATTTAAATTTATTTAACGTAAAAATGTT